TCCAGGAGGTCCAGGAGGTCCCATTGGTCCTGGCTCACCTGGAGGACCTTGAGGGCCTTGTTCACCTGCAACAGCTGTTAAATAAAAACAAAAAGTGAACTAGGTTACAAATTTGGTTACAATAATCTTCCACAACCTTTGTGGAATGTTCTACCCTTTGAGTAAACATAAGGAATACTGTGTTCCCTATGACATCAAAGTGACCCTCCTCCCTGTTTTGGTGATGTAGAGTGCGGGAGAATGCTGAGTTTGTTTCTTCCGATATAGTCCAGTACCACTCCTTTGAGCTGATTTCTCACCAAGCTTACATCCGCTGCCCCGTGGGACACAGTAAGGCAGCTCCTGTTTGTTTCATTCGTTTTACTCGCACTAACGCCGCACCCTCTAATTTCCTCTGTTGCCCGTGGCTGCGAATGTATAGTTAGTGGTCAGCAAGTTGTTGAAATCACATTGGAGCCCCGAAGTGACGAGTTTATGGGGCAAAACCAATGTATATATGGAACTATCCTATGATGTAAGTTTGTTAGTTCCTCGCCCATAAATCTGCAGACGGTTGTTTGAAGTTTAGAGGGTTAACCTTTCCTTAAAGTCAATGTTTGACTTTAATATTATTTTCTTTTACCTATTTGGCCTTTTTTTTATATATTTATATATATATTGATACCACTGAAGAAATACATTACACAAATATATATTTTGAGTTGTATTCAACAGTTAGAATAGTAGTACATAATGTAAGTAAATGATGAGTTGATATATCTAGATGTCGTACTTCTGCCATACTATACTCATTAATTACAATCATTGTAATATAGACGCTATATTATACTGTAGTATATTTAATTCTGTTCCCCCTATGTCTTTCTATGTCTGTCCTGTGTGTGAGTGTGTGCGCACTCTCCATGTGGACTGTGTAAACAGCACGTGAGGTGAAAATGTAATTTCGACAAAAGAAGAATTTCCATTGTTCCTTAACTCTAACCTGTCAGGAGAGCTAGAAATCCACAAATGCCGGTGTGTCTTTTTTAATTGATGCTTCTGCTAGTCAGATGCTTCCACAGGGATGTCATTTCCAAACCACAGGAGTCTTTGCAGCAAAAACCCTAGGGGGAATATTTGTGGCGGCCCTGTTCACCACAGCTTGGAGGTGATGATAATGGACTTGGGAACTTAACCAAGTTTGGCCTTCAGATTTCTACTGCATCTGTTTTTTTTTTTTTTTTGGTACGCTCTCACCGTCCAATCAGTTTGGTTGTTTGTGAGTCATCGTCTCTGCTGGGTGAAATTGCCGTGGCTGTGCCGCAGTGGCTGTGCTGTGGTTTTGTTGTGTTGCGATCATTTCATAGCTGACTTTTTTTTTTTTTCTGCTACTTCTTTTTATTGTCGTTTGTGTGCGGTGTGATTTTCAAACCGCAGCACAGTTTTTGTTTTTTGTTGTTTTTTTTTTCTCCTGCAGTGTTGTGGCAACATCTGTTTTGGAGATTTGTCAAACTTAGCTCTGATCGTTGGCCTACTCCTCTGTATTATTTTAGTTAATGCAGTCACTGAAACCACATGAAACCTCTTCGAACCCAAAGCGTTGTCTTAACTTCAAATATGTACTGTGTTTACTTGAGTAAAAATAGAATGGTGTGCATAACGCCGGCAGTCACACCAATGGCTTGCACACGACAAACTGCCAGTTCTGGTGCTCTAAATAAATTGTCATTTAGTGAAAAAAATAGGTGTTACTTAGAGTCATTTTCAAACTCGACTGCTACACAAACCCATTGTTTTTTTTTTTTCTTAGTCTTCAAACTCGACTGCTACACAAACCCATCGTTGTTTTTTTTTTCTTAGTCTACCAATAAGTAAGAGCTTCTTGGTGTGGTGATGAAAAAAAAAAAAACAGGTCAGCCTACATCAATAAAGATGACCTTTAGCAAAGGGTCAGAAATGGGAATGTAATAATGACAATGCCAAAAATGGCTAACATTAAGGAATTTGAATTTTGTTGTTGTTGGTT